CCACCGAAATGGGAGGGGGAAGGAGCGATAGAGTCAGAAGTAGGGGCCGAGGAAGAAAGCGAAGCCTTCTTACCCGCCGGGGAGGAGGAAGGAGAGGAGCCAGGCATATGCTTTTGACTTCAAGAGACAGGTGTCCCAGCAACTACGTACTGGGCAACGGATTCCAGCGTCTCAACAGGAGAAGCAGAAGAGAGCACAAACGACGGCCGTTAGGAGAGCAATGAACATCAGCCCGAACTGACAGGCGGCGGGGAGAGTCAATAGACAAAGGAGAAGGATGGGAAGGAAGATCGGAGGGAGATGAGGAAGAAGACACAGGAGACATGACAGACCGGGTAGAAAGAAGGGGAACCCCAGACAGAGGACCAGGAGGAGGACCCTTCGGGACAGAACTCAAAGGAACAGAGGAGGGGGCAGTGGGCGTATCAGGGTCCTAGGCCCGGAAACGGTTGTGAGTCTGAGGAAGGTGGAAAGGACGAGGAGAGGAAGAGCGCATCATGCGAGCATAATAGATGTTAGCATAAAGCGGGAGCCGGCGAATCTGACGTCTCGCCTCAGGAAAAGATAAACGCTCCCGGTGCTTCAAGTTAAGGACGGCTGCCTCAAGCTTGTAATGGATACACGCACGGGAGAAGGTAGGATGGGCCTCACCGCAGTTGAGGCAGCGAGCCTGTGGAGAAGTGCACTCCGACTTAGAGTGACCATCGCCCCCACACAAAGGACAGAGAGAGACAGTCCCAGAGCAGCGGAGGGCACCATGCCCAAACCTCCAGCACTTGTTACGGAGCCTAGGAGAAGGAATGTACTCCTGGACAGAGCACCTGGCACCAGCAAGAATGACAGAGGGCGGAAGGGTCCTACCATCAAAAGTAATCTTCACAACCTGAAGGGGCTGACGGTGACGACCACGAGGGGGACGAGTAAATGTGTCTACCCGGAGAAGAGAATGGCCCTGGGCCTCAAGGATATGCTGAATATCATCGTGACAGTCCTGCAAATTCCGAACACCAGTTGCAACATGGGGCGGAAGGAGAATAGTGCCAACACTGGCATTCAACCGAGCGTTCTTGGAGACCCGAACAGGGGTCTCGCCAAGGCAGGATAAAGCAGCCAAGCGGGAGGCCGCATCCTGAGAAGGAGCAGCAATGACACGTGTACCGAGACGGGTGGGGTTGAAGGTGACAGAGGTATCCATGGAATCTACAAGGTGCCTATGAAGGGAGAAATCGTCAGGAGGTGCAGAATCAAGAGGAAGGCGTTAGAGACTGAGCCGTGCCAGGGGACGAGGTGGTCACCACCCGGGGCTTGGGGCTCGACCCAATCACAGAGGAGGGAGAGGAGCCGAGTGGAGTAGTCAGGAGGGTCAAAGGAGGAGCAAGGTTGGGGGCAGCAGCAGCCTGGTTTTCCAATACAGTCCGACTCGGGGGATTAGTCGCCCACCCCACTAGCCTGAGAGGGTAAAAGAGGAACATTCAGCAACATATGCACGAAAAGAAACACTTTCACTCACGAACGTGCCCCCCACACCCACCATGGAGCCACAATTAGAGGTAGGACACCCATCAAGAAGCTATCGCTGATCAAGCCGGGGCTCCCTAGGGGTGCGTCGTGAGTATACGCCCCACAAACGCCACCTTAAGAACCGTCAGTCCGTCGAGATCGGGATCAGTGACAAAACGGGGGATTGACAATAAAAGGTTCCCCTCGCTCTCAACGTTGGGTACTACAGTTCTACGGGTGCAAGAGTATGCCTCCTCAAGCACCCGGGCATCAAAATAGAAAAAGTCCAAAGGAATAACCAAAACAAGCAAAAGGTCGGCAGGAAATGACAAGCAGATAGGAGAAGAGGGAGGAGAAAAACGAAACAGAAGGAAAAGGAAAAGTCGTTCAGCACAATTAGAGAGGACAGCAGCAGGAGCACAAGGCCACAAAAGGACAGAGGAGCATCACACTCCAGCAGCCGCCCACTAAGCCCCCCCTCACGGCATCAACGAGCTGAACTGGGAGGGGGGAAAGAATTGAATAACTGAAGAATATATTACACTAATTACAAAATCGCACAACGTTTCGAACTTCTATGGATCATTCTCAAGTGAAAAGAAATTACAGAACTCGTTAATTTATACCAGTACGGGGTCAGGTGATAAAACAAGTACAATAAAGGTGGAGACAAATGGGATACATAGGGGGATAAATAGGGGATAAATTGGGGATAAATGGGAGACGAAGCACATACAAAGATTAATCAGGTGTAATAGGCCTGTTATGTTGAGCAGTATCTTCTGTGTTGACGTTATATTCCGGTCTTGTCCTTACTCTCATGGAGGGTAGAGTATATAGTTCCGTGATTTGGGTGTTCATGGTAGGTTCCTTACCATGAACCTACCCTGATGCAAGAGCATTAGTTAGAGGGATAGAAGCTCTAAAATCAGAAAATAGTAAATACGGATTATGCGGTCATATTCAATGAGACATGTAACATTAAATAGAGATAAATCCTCGGGTAATTGTGGTTGTATTCGTATTAAGAAGAGCCCCGAGCCAGCCCATCTCTGCCTCACTGTTCTCATTAGGTCAATTCTCTTCTTTGTGACCCATTTTCTGTGACAATATTTTACAAAAATCGTGTCAGCCGAGGAATGAATGATGGCTGATGGAGTTATGTCCTGGAGACCTAGAGCTAGAGTGCAGGACATGTGGCTGAGCGTCTTGAGTTGTAGTAACTTTTTGTTCTCTTGTCGAACAAGGAGTTGGAGCAAGTGATGAATCTTGTGAACGTTGACCTGGAGTGTAAGACCGTAAGGCCGGCTTCTCGTCCATGCTCAAGTCTCGGGTACTAGGTCAAGACGAGCCACACTAGGACGAGGAAGGGGGTCAGGATTGCCCCCTAGATCTTGCGTCACTTTGCGTCACCTTGCCATAGATGTTGCGTCACCTTGCCCTAGATGTTGCGTTACCTTGCGTCACCTTGCCCTAGATGTTGCGTCACCCTGCGTCACCTTGCCCTAGGTCTTGTGTTCTTTCAGCAGTAGGCGTACCACGTCAGCGACCACTCCAAGTAAATGTAAGAACAAGTTGATGACCGATGAGCGTAGTGAACAAGTTCAGCTTCTCTTTAGGAAAGGAGAGAATGGAGTCATTCTTTCCTTTACTAAAGAGTATATTGTTGCAGTCGTTAGAGTACACATTGCAGACGAGGAGTCACAATAACGTGGCTGAAATATGTTGCCCAAACCAAACACTAGAAAGTGAAGGGACGACGACGTTTCGGTCCGACCTGGACCATTCTCAAGTCGATTGTGAGAATGGTCCAGGACGGACCGAAACGTCGTCGTCCCTTCACTTTCTAGTGTGTGGTCTGGTCAACAAAAGTATACATAACTCAACAAGGGAGCAAGCATACTGCCCTGTGGTATGCTGCCTGTTCCCTCACACAATCAATTATTATTATAAAGTAATATTCACCAGTTTTCACTGATCTCGGGAAAATTAACAGAAATTCCCGGCTATTTACACTTTGGCTGTAGTAGCATAAACAGATGATCCTTGAGCAGCTTCACAGGTTTCTCAAGACCGGCTATTTCTCAACGTGAATGGTGTAACTATTTTATTTTGTAATATATCACATTGCTAAGCTCCTCTCACCAGAGAGAACTCATACGGCATGAGAAGACAATCATATTTTATATGAGATAGATACAGAGATGAAGAGGGGAGAGAGAGAGAGAGACGGGGGGGGGGGGGGGAGGTAGAGAGACGGGGGGAGAGAGAGAGAGAGTGGGGGGGAGTGAAACGGGAGAAAGATGGGGGGGGGGGGAAGAAAGGGGAAGAGAGGGATGTGGCGTGAATGGAAAACCGAAGCGTGGAATAGGGGGGGGGGTAAAGAAACTACCCCGAGCACCGCCGGGTAGTACGACTATAGCACCCTTAAGGTACTAGAGGGCACGGGGCAGGAATATGAGCGAAGGAACGGTGCCAAGTTACTTGGTCCACTGGGAATCGAACGCCGACCCTGCATGAAGTGAAGTGGTCAGTGTGTCTACTAGGCCATAGGGGGGGGGGGATCTATGGAGTCCCATCTTGAATGGCATCACTAACAAGCTTTAGGGAGCCGGTCGGCCGAGCGGACAGCACACTGGACTTGTGATCCTGTGGTCCCGGGTTCGATCCCGGGCGCCGGCGAGAAACAATGGGCAGTTTCTTTCACCCTATGCCCCTGTTACCTAGCAGTAAATAGGTACCTGGGTGTTAGTCAGCTGTCACGGGCTGCTTCCTGGGGGTGGAGGCCTGGTCGAGGACCGGGCCGCGGGGACAGTAAAGCCCCGAAATCATCTCAAGATAATCTCAAGATAATCAAGCTGAAATGAGAGACCTTGACGACTGCTGATTCGTTGCACACTTGTCAAAGGCGCCAGCATGTGCCCCTCTCCCTCTCTCACATTGATTACATCAACGCTGGTTATCGTTCCAGTTAACAGCGTCCTGCCACCGTCATCGCGACAATAACCCGTTTTCTTTGCCAATTACAATCCCTACCTCGAAACCAGCATTCTTCAGCGCCACACACGGCATAACCAACACGCAGTGACATGGCAGGGAGGGTCAACCACGAGGGCCACACACGGCATAACCAACACGCAGTGACATGGCAGGGAGGGTCAACCATGAAAGCCACACAAGGCATAACCAACACGCAGTGACATGGCAGGGAGGGTCAACCACGAGGGCCACACACGGCATAACCAACACGCAGTGACATGGCAGGGAGGGTCAACCATGAAAGTCACACAAGGCATAACCAACACGCAGTGACATGGCAGGGAGGGTCAACCACGAGGGCCACACACGGCATAACCAACACGCAGTGACATGGCAGGGAGGGTCAACCATGAAAGCCACACAAGGCATAACCAACACGCAGTGACATGGCAGGGAGGGTCAACCACGAGGGCCACACACGGCATAACCAAGAGGCAGAGTGACCAACCAAGAGGACTCACCTCAATAAATTTGTGCGTGTGGAGGAGGGCGCAGGTCTGGCTCAGCTGGGAGCTGTTCTCAATATCTTGGTCGAGCGCCGTGCAGTAGATGGACTGGAACGGCAGGAAACTCTGAAACACAAACACGTGTTAACTTCCTGTCATACACAGTATATAATTGCACTTATTGAGCTGTTACATTTACCTCCTCATTTAATCTCCTTGTTCTCTGGTAAGACTCAGAAATTTAAGATGAAGTTTTCAAATTCAATTTGTTATACACAAGTTTTAAATATCAAGAATTTAATTTTCAGTTTTATTAAACAATAGAGATTTTATACAAAACTTTAAAATAGCCCGAGTTACTTTACAATTTATTGATATATTTTAGTTTTGTTTTATTAATTTTATAAAACTGTAATATCAATATAGCTATAGATTAAGTACTAATTGTAATTAAGAAGCAATAAAATGTTTATCTTCAAACACTAAGAAGGTTAGGTTATGTCGTGGTTTTCTATTCAGCTTTTCAGGTAAACTCAAATATTCACAATATATTTGACAGTTCGGTTTAATACTTAGTGAAAATAAGTACAATTCCTGACTGATATGAATAGTACATAATTGCACTTACTTGTGCTGTTACATTTACCTCCCCATGTTAGGAGGACGGGCTGGTTAATACACACCTTCCCATACAGGCGGTCATCACCATCACCGTCCCTAACATGTAGACGTCACAACAACTGTCACTAACACACAGGTCACAACAACTGTCACTAACACACACACAGGTCACAACAACTGTCACTAACACACAGGTCACAACAACTGTCACTAACACACACGTCACAACAACTGTCACTAACACACACGTCACAACAACTGTCACTAACACACACACACGTCACAACAACTGTCACTAACACACACGTCACAACAACTGTCACTAACACACACGTCACAACAACTGTCACTAACACACACGTCACAACAACTGTCACTAACACACAGGTCACAACAACTGTCACTAACACACACACACGTCACAACAACTGTCACTAACACACAGGTCACAACAACTGTCACTAACACACACACACGTCACAACAACTGTCACTAACACACACGTCACAACAACTGTCACTAACACACAGGTCACAACAACTGTCACTAACACACAGGTCACAACAACTGTCACTAACACACAGGTCACAACAACTGTCACTAACACACACACAGGTCACAACAACTGTCACTAACACACACACAGGTCACAACAACTGTCACTAACACACACGTCACAACAACTGTCACTAACACACACGTCACAACAACTGTCACTAACACACACGTCACAACAACTGTCACTAACACACAGGTCACAACAACTGTCACTAACACACACGTCACAACAACTGTCACTAACACACACGTCACAACAACTGTCACTAACACACAGGTCACAACAACTGTCACTAACACACACGTCACAACAACTGTCACTAACACACACGTCACAACAACTGTCACTAACACACACGTCACAACAACTGTCACTAACACACACGTCACAACAACTGTCACTAACACACACGTCACAACAACTGTCACTAACACACACGTCACAACAACTGTCACTAACACACAGGTCACAACAACTGTCACTAACACACACGTCACAACAACTGTCACTAACACACACGTCACAACAACTGTCACTAACACACACGTCACAACAACTGTCACTAACACACACGTCACAACAACTGTCCCTAACACACAGGTCACAACAACTGTCACTAACACACAGGTCACAACAACTGTCACTAACACACACGTCACAACAACTGTCACTAACACACACGTCACAACAACTGTCACTAACACACACGTCACAACAACTGTCACTAACACACACGTCACAACAACTGTCACTAACACACAGGTCACAACAACTGTCACTAACACACACGTCACAACAACTGTCACTAACACACACAGGTCACAACAACTGTCACTAACACACACGTCACAACAACTGTCACTAACACACAGGTCACAACAACTGTCACTAACATGCAGGCGGCAATACAACCACAAAGTCAACTTCGCAACTCAATATCCAGTTTTTCGTTTACAAATAAAAATCAAAACAAGTATATAACCTGACCAAGAAAAGTCCTGTAACTCCTGACTTCAATTCCGTGTTTTCTACAAATATAAAACATGAGCCATAAAACAGAGTAAATGTTTGGAAAACTCATTAGCGGGTCTCAGTTATCGTAACTTCAGAATAAATGGGTCAAAACAGTTTTACAGTGAGATTTTATCTCACAAGTGAGAGAAATGTGAGGCGAATTCAATCAGGTTTGGAGGAGCACGTATACGCGCGCGCGCGCGTGTGTGTGTGTGTGTGTAATTACCTAAGTGTAATTACCTAAGTGTAGTTACAGGATGAGAGCTACGCTCGTGGTGTCCCGTCTTCCCAGCACTCTTTGTCATATAACGCTTATCGCTGTGTGTGTGTGTGTGTGTGTGTGTGTGTGTGTGTGTGTGTGTGTGTGTGTGTGTGTGTGTGTGTGTGTGTGTGTGTGTGTGTGTACTCACCTAGTTGTGTTTGCGGGGGTTGAGCTCTGGCTCTTTGGTCCCGCCTCTCAACCGTCAATCAACAGGTGTACAGATTCATGAGCCTATCGGGCTCTGTCATATCTACACTTGAAACTGTGTATGGAGTCAGCCTCCACCACATCACTTCCTAATGCATTCCATTTGTCAACCACTCTGACACTAAAAAAGTTCTTTCTAATATATCTGTGGCTCATTTGGGCACTCAGTTTCCACCTGTGTCCCCTTGTGCGTGTTCCCCTTGTGTTAAATAGACTGTCTTTATCTACCCTATCAATCCCCTTCAGAATCTTGAATGTGGTGATCATGTCCCCCCTAACTCTTCTGTCTTCCAGCGAAGTGAGGTTTAATTCCCGTAGTCTCTCCTCGTAGCTCATACCTCTCAGCTCGGGTACTAGTCTGGTGGCAAACCTTTGAACCTTTTCCAGTTTAGTCTTATCCTTGACTAGATATGGACTCCATGCTGGGGCTGCATACTCCAGGATTGGCCTGACATATGTGGTATACAAAGTTCTGAATGATTCTTTACACAAGTTTCTGAATGCCGTTCGTGTGTGTGTGTGTGTGTGTGTGTGTGTGTGTGTGTGTGTGTGTGTGTGTGTGTGTGTGTGTGTGTGTGTGTGTGTATGTGTGTATGTGTGTATGTGTGTATGTGTGTATGTGTGTATGTGTGTGTGTGTGTGTGTGTGTACTCACCTAATTGTACTCACCTAATTGTGCTTGCGGGGGTTGAGCTTTGGCTCTTTGGTCCCGCCTCTCAACTGTCAATCAACTGGTGTACAGATTCCTGAGCCTACTGGGCTCTATCATACCTACATTTGAAACTGTGTATGGAGTCAGCCTCCACCACATCACTTCCTAGTGCATTCCATTTATTAACTACTCTGACACTGAAAAAAATTCTTTCTAACGTCTCTGTGGCTCATCTGGGTACTAAGTTTCCACCTGTGTCCCCTTGTTCGTGTCCCACCCGTGCTGAAGAGTTTGTCTTTGTCCACCCTGTCAATTCCCCTGAGAATTTTGTAGGTGGTTATCATGTCTCCCCTTACTCTTCTGTTTTCCAGGGATGTGAGGTTCAGCTCCTTTAGCCTTTCCTCGTAGCTCAATCCTCTCAGTTCCGGGACGAGCCTGGTGGCATACCGCTGAATCTTCTCTAACTTTGTCTTGTGTTTAACTAGGTATGGACTCCAGGCTGGAGCTGCATACTCCAGGATTGGTCTTACATAAGTGGTAAACAGGGTTCTGAAAGATTCCTTACACAAGTTTCTGAAGGCAGTTCTTATGTTGGCCAGTCTAGCATATGGCGCTGATGATATTCTTTTGATGTGGGCCTCTGGGGACAGGTTCGGTGTGATATCAACCCCCAGATCCTTCTCTCTATTTGATTCTTGCAGGATTTCCCCTCCCAGATGATACCTTGTGTTCAGCCTCCTGCTCCCTTCGCCTAAATTCATCACCTTACACTTTCCAGAGTGTATGTGTGTTTGTGTGTGTGTGTGTGTGTGTGTGTGTGTGTGTGTGTGTGTGTGTGTGTGTGTGTGTGTGTGTGTGTGTGTGTGTGTGTGTGTACTCTTGTTGCACTCACCTTGTTGTGCTTGCTGGGGTTGAGCTCTGGCTCTTTGGTCCCGCCTCTCAACTGTCAACCAACTGGTGTACAGATTCTTGAGCCTACTGGGATCTATCATTTCTACATTTGAAACTGTATATGGAGTCAGCCAACCTAATCTAACTGAACCTAACCTAATCCAACCTAATCTAATCCAACCTAATCTAACCCAACCTAACCTAATCTAACCTATCCTCAGCTAAGATAACCTAACCTGTCCAAGCAATCCTAGGCCTGATATAATTTTATGACTGATAAAGTACACATGGAACAATAAAGCCTAAGAACATCAAAGTTTATGGTCTTAATTTTTTCTGTGCTCTATACAAAGCAATAGTACAAAATGTCACCATTGCTGGCACCATTGTACAACCACTCACCATTGCCCATTGGGTCAAAAAGTTACTATAAGTATTATCACTTTAAGAAGGCGGGCTGGGTTACCTGGGACGACTCTGGCCTGGGTCCAAGGGGGTCCCCAAGGGTCGGTCCTGGCACCTCTGCTCTTCACAGTTTATATGAAACAGTTGCCCGAGGGAGTGAGCTCGTGCAGGCTAATGGTTGCAAATGTTTCAAAGCTAATGAGGAATGTAAAAACCGGGGAAGATTGAAAAAAAATTATAGCATCTATAGTTACATTGGCAAAATATAGGAGTGGGCAAACAAATGGTTGGTGGAATTTAATCCCCGAAAATGTAAGGTAATGAAGATGAAGAAGAGAGAAAGTCTCGAGACCAAGAGGTATCTACACCATAAGGAGATGACAACTGCACAAATTCGAAACATGAAAAAAAGATTTGGTAGTGGATATAATTCCGACTAACTAACACCGGAGGCACACATATACAGAGTAACATCAGCAGCATATGTGACGCTGGCAAACATTTAAATGTCTTTC